TTCTTGTTGACTTGAATCACATTTTCAAGGCAGCACCACCTTCAAATGTTTTACAGTGTAACATGTCAGAGTCAAAACAACCTTGATTCATTGGGGACTCAAAGAACCGTTTGGATCAGAGATTGTTTCAGCTGATCTGAAAAGTCCATCAAGGATATCGTTGGAAAAGAGTAGATCTTGTGGTTCAAAGGTCAGATCTGATGACCTGGATTTATAACCATAATACCTATCTGTTCTTATATCTAGTCCAATGTGTGTGTGTGAGACTTTGTTGAGAATGTTTCTCATCTGGTATAAAGGTTTTCAGAATAATTCCTTCATACTGGCCCAGTTTTACTCCATTAGAAGTGACAGGGGTTGTAAATCAGCTCGGATGATTCAGTCGCAGGGGACTTTGCTGTCTGAACTCCACACCTTGGCTGGAGCGTTTCCACCCAAATCATTCACTAACACGGTCTAGCTTTTATTGAAATCATTCCTAACGCTATTTACATGCACCTTGTGCATTTTATGACATCAGTGCGTCCGGCTTGCTCCCCTGTCGTGCGACGCAGCGTCATCAACCATGAGCACGAAAACATCCCGTCCTCAAGAAACCGATGAGGATGTTGTTGTTGGGATCAGTGTTTTGTTTTGTTTTTTTTTTGTAATCTTGGGGTTGGGTTTTGTTTTGTTGCCTGCTGTTTCCTCACCATCCACCAGAGGTCCGCGATGGGCTTAGCCCCTGGAACATGCGGTGGCAGACCCTGTTGACGCACCTGTGGCTAATTTGAAGAGGGCTGAAGTGGAGTATTTATGCTGCGGCTGGCAAACACTCCGGTGCCTGAGTGTTAACCTAGAATGGTTTTCAGCCGTCTCCCAGCGTGTAGCCTGTGGATACAAGTCTCCGAGTGATCTCCGCTCCGGTCAGCCTCCCGAGGAACAGTTACTCCCTCTGACGCCTCAGGTAGTACCTGTTGGAAGCCAGTACCCTCGCCCCTGGATGAATCGAGCTCTCCGTTTGCCAACCGTCCGCTACAGCCGCTCTTACCTGCCCGTCCTCCAACGTGCTCCGCTCGCCGGATTAGCGAGCTCTGGACCTCAGTCCTCCGTCGCAACCTCAGGCAACAATCAAACCCATTCCACCCCTTATCCAAGTAAGATTCACCGACTATCTCTGCATTATCCTTCTGCCACCGACTGCTATTCACATCTGTCCTCTCATTTAACAGTTGATGACCTTGCAGTTCCAACCCCGTATCCAGATCTCCCCACCACTTCTCTTTATTTAATAAACTTTATTATTGTGATTCGCTCAACTGGTTGTGTTCTTGCATGTGGGTGCGTTCACTAGGACCCACTATGACAGTTGTTACCTTTTAGCTCTTCCATGTCCCAAATATCTCACACAATGTCAACACGCGAGTCCTTGAAAGTGAGGCCCCAACGTCGCCGTCTTTACCAAATAGGTGGCGTCACGGTGATGGAGGGCTACAGATGGCGGGTGAAAGCGCTCCCTTCAACACGGTGAGCTCTGTCAGCGACGGGGTCTCCGGAAGGGCAGAAATGACTTGGAGGTGGCCTCTGATTTCCATTTCAGGGTTCGCCACTGTGCACTTTAAATGTGCGTCGAGGCTGTTTTGTGACAAGTCTGGACCAAAACTCCCCTGTGGGCTTAGGGTGAGTAAGAGCTTGTGTGTGTGTGTGTGTGTTTTCCTGCAAAATCACTGTGTGCCTTTAGCTCAGAGGGTTTTATCAGAGCACAGTGACTGACTTATGAAGGGAGGGGAGTTTGGGATAAATGATTAAGCACCTTATTGTGTCAATAAACATCCTCACGTTCGCAGCAAGCGCGGCCGCAGACACCCTCAACTTGTTCACCTCAACAACGGGACGCAGACCCACAAATAAAACCTCCTCAACAGCGGATAAGAGATGCAGTAAGTTCATTATGTGAAATCCTATTGATGCCCGAACACACATGCTCAAATAATCCCACACATGCTTGTTGGATACTCAAAGAAGTGAAAACTACTAAGAGCATTAATGGTGTTTAACCAGTTCCTGTTTAGTCTTGTTGCTTACTCATACAAAGGAATTTAAAAAAAAAAATGGAAAAATTAATACAACGCAGCTTGCTCAAGGTGAGTTAGTTTTCATTTTAAGCTTCAAAAACACAACAAAAAGCCGTTGTTGTTTTAATTAAGCTGCAGCAACGTCGGTGTCCTTGACTGACCCCCAGCACATCCCCGTCTTCTTGCCCCCTGGTTTCCATGCTTCGGAGAAGAAAAAGGGGGTGTGTTGCTTGTGTTGGGGAGAAGCAGGGCAATTGCTCCTCTGCTAAAAACTGCATGGATACAAGGGGGGGCTGAGAGAGAGGGAGAGGAGGCGCGGCACAGTGAGTGTGTCAGAGACAGGCCCATCGTGAAATTAGCCAGTCACTGTGTCAGGAAGCAGTGCACGCCTGAGCCGAGTGTGATGCGTGGTGCTTGTATGTTTACGTGCATGAATGTCGTGTATGCCCTACTGCTGGTTTCATCCTGCTTGACCTAAGAGCCAAACCTCCTAAAATCAACCATGCAACACTCCAGCATAAAGAGGAAATTACAATGTTTCACTGTTTTTTTAATGGCTTTTATGAGATAAATCATAATTTTTCCAAATGTTTCTTCATATTTTACTGAATGTTAATTAAATATCATTGAAATAATGAACATGTAAGGCGTTCTGAAAATGTCAAGTTCAAAATTTCTCCAGTCATTATAGATTCTCTGAATTAGTCCACATTTAGAAGCATTTTAGGAGCAACATGTCACATAAAAACCTTTTTACAAATTATATCATTTGTGTAAATCTATTTACTGATGAAAATTTCTCATTGTAATTATTTTTCCCAACAAAATTGCCTGTGTAGCAATTGTGTACTAAAATCAAAGGTATTAGTGGTCAAACACTAACTTTTCTTCTTATGTTGGCTGCTACTTTTTATTTGTCTGCGTGTGGCAGTTTCTCAAAGTCTGTCAGGTCACACCTTTTCTGTCAGACTCTCATTTTACCATTTGCAACATTTAATTTCTTTTGGTGACTAAAATGTGAAGTCAATTGTTGTGTATGATTTACCTTGATGTGAAGCTGATAAATAATTATCCTTTCTAGCTGAGGCCTTAAAAACTGATCTGTATTTGGATCCTGACTTCCTGATTTCACCCACCTTTACAGAAACTCTGGTTCCACTTAAAAAAAATGAATCCTTGCCCATGATTCTGCTTCCACCATATTTCTCTTTGGGTTCAATGTTCTTTTGTCGATGTGTTGGATTTGCGATAAACTTATCTTTTGGGAGTTGCGTCCCAAAGTTCAAGGTGGATTCGTCAGACCATAGCAGTTTCTTTATTTAGTGATTTAGTGACACATCCAGCAGCTCCAGTGCTAGCCAGAATTTTCTGCAGCTTCTTCAGAGATTATTTCAGTGTCTTAGCAGACTCTCTGATCAGTTCCCATCTCATATTTTCATTGATTTTTAAAGAAATTTCTTATCAGCTTTACCTTTATTGTTAACTTTATAAATTTTATTTTTCTTCGTAGCCTTTTTGAGAACTATGGCTTTAGCTAAATTATGTAAATGAGCAAAAGTCAACAAAACCCTTTTAGTACAACTGAACCTCCTCTCAGGTTAATCATATCGAATATAATTAATAAGAAATGTGAACTCATGTAATATATTTTCACATGAATACTTGATAAAATGTGGAAAAGTACATTTTTTTATACTCAAAAAACTTGTGCAAATTTTGATAATGACTGTAAGTAATATATCAGATCTACTTTTGACTCCCAACCCCTTAAATATTCAGATCAAGTGAATCTACCCCCCCCCCTTTTCATTCATGACACCACAGGATGCACTTGAGACCCCCCCCACCCCCAATGCCAGACTCTTCTTCTATTTCTAGGAGGTTATTACTAATTAGGATTTCCTAACCTAAATGTGCACACAAATACACGGCAGTAATGTTCGGGCTCTGCAGTAGCAGCTGGTTGGAGGATCAGCCAGCCCCCTACTACTTTCAGTCAGATTAGAGTCAGTAGTCTCGCACCATACACCCTCCTTCCTTCTCTTCCCTTCAACCCCCCACCCCGCAAGCTCACACGCACTTCAAAATGTACAGTCTCTAAATCTGCACCCCACTGAGTCACATCTGTTTAGTGAGAGCTGCCTTTCAAAACACGTCAAGTCCGACTCATATCACGGCATCGTCGTGAACGAAGCCAAACAGCAAATAAAGAAAGAAAATATAACTTTTGTTCTGTCATAGAAAACACAGGGGGGGAAAAAAAATAAAAAATCCAGAATGCATCTTCACTTTCAAAAATGTGTCATTTATTAAAAGATTTCTGTCTTGTGTCATTGCTGGGGGGAAAAAAAAAAAGTAGTCGGGAGGATAAAATCAGAAAAAGATGAAGTGAAAGAAAGAAATAGGTTCGTTTGAGAGAAAGGTACTAACAGGATTGAGGGGGATGTAGCAGAGATGGCAAGGGCAGAGCAGTGCAGCCGAATGGGGGAAGGGACGCGTTTACAGTCAGCGTGTAATGAGAGAAAGGCAGCTAAAATAAACAAAACATTGTTATTCCTGACCAATCAGCAGTGGATGCAACAGTATAAAAAAATACATACACTCAAGAAAGCCAAAAAAAAAAAAGCAGGTTAACAAATAAGTGCAATTGGTTTCTCTGTCATACTTCAACAGTAAACAAGAGTGAGGTGGAAGACAACCCCCCCGCCTGTAGGCTCTGATCCAGAGTCTGGATCTGTGACGGAGGGTTTGTGTGCTCGTTGCTCCAAAAACATGGGCGGTAACATGATGGCAGCCGGGGGGAGTCTGTGTTTACACGTGGGTGTTTTTAGAGGTGTCACCTCCCTCGGTACAAAATTAGTGAATTAATTACTAAAACAAAAATTACAAATAATTTCAATATTTATATGTTGATTCAATCACAATGATATAGCTTAATATTTATATGAATGTTAGCTTATTTTTTTTTTTATAAATAAGGGGGTCCTATGAAGCATCTAGTACAAATAAAGATTTTTCTAACTAATTTATATATATATTTTTTTTTATTTTTTAAGAGCACCAGCAGTTCAATTAGCTCCGCCGCTAATGAGAGTCCAAAAACAGTGTTAAATAAAGATTACGCTCAATCATACACAACAAAAATTATAGCCACTGCTGACAGTGTGCATATTCGGTCTGTGGAAGCCTTAAAACCAGATTTCTTCAATCACAAATTAGTACTAAAATACAACAACAAAAAGAAGTGGCTATCTGATTTCAAGATAAAATACAAACTAAAAAAAGGGAAATACAACTCCTTTTTTTTTGTGGAACCCTTGCCAGAAACTATTTTTTTTTATTTATAAAAACAAAACCAATGGCAAAAAGAAATTCAAAAAGTTTTCCAAACACCAATATGTGAAAGCATCTTTGTGACACCATTGCCCATAAATGGCAGGGATGAGCGTTTTTAACAGAAAATGAAATATTATATAATTTCTTAAAATCCTCATCCAAATAATAAAACAAAGGTGTTAATTTTCTATGTTTTTGTCCATTGCCATTTGTGAAAAATGTTAGCCTACAGCTAAGACAGCGCCTCCTACTGTCACGGTGATGGATAGTCACAGAATTGCGTACCTTACTAGAAATATTTTTGTTCTTGAAGACAATAAAAGAAATCAAATAAACACTTGTTTTTGTTTTTACACTACTGGTTTCTCACCAAATTACCTGAACACATCCACACACCATATCAGCTCAAGATGTGGGCAGTGAGGACAAGCAGATATCAGGATATCGGATCTGGACGCTGTTGGTTTGGATGCATTGGTGCATTTTTAAAAAGTACAGACTACATGTTGGCTGTCCTTGATTGAATGTGTTATTGGTTTTGTGAAATGCAAACAATCAAAATGCACTGAAAGCACCGAGATCTTTTTCAAACACATTGGCAAAAAGGCACAGTAGTCCATCAGTCCAGTCGAAATATTTTATCTGCCTCCTTTTTTCTCCTCGTGATAGTAGTAAAAAACACATGACATGTCAAAAGTATCAAACCCTCGAAAAGGAAACTGTGGGCCAAACTGTGCGAATGCACAGCAGGCGATAATCAGCTGCCCAATAAATAAATACAAACAATAATAAATAGCTGCAGTGTCTGATTGAAATGTGAATAAATTAACAGCAGAACTAGAGTCTTATGTCTGAGTGGTTGCTGATTTTCCTGTTTGATTTTCTCAGGCTGGTCATTAAAAAAAAAAAGAAGAAGAAAGAAGAAAAAAAGTCTTTCTTGACCCTGATCGCCAGTCGGTTTGCAGACAGACTCCGGGCGGCGGTGCCCGATTCACAGCGAGACGTGTCGTTGCTACGGCGTCGCTCCTCTGGATGTGCAGAGTTCAAACATTTTGGAATACATTCATGGGATGTTAGATGTTTGTTTTCCGCCATCTTCGCCGACTCCAACACACCACATATACAGCATATTAATTAGTCAGTTCTGTATTTTTCACCGTAAAAGCCACAGCACTTGGCCTTACTCACGTCACTCTTATTTTTCTCCTGTCCTATCTACAGTTAGTTGTAAAAATCAAACAGGGCTTCCTGTCATAACACAATTAGCTCACTCTGTTAAATGCTCTGATTGGAATCATAGCATTCTAGGGTTTTATTTTAAATACTGACATCAGACTCCAAAGTTTGTAAAGTTTCAAGTTTAAGTTAAAGTTGTGCGAAAACAGCTATCTCTGAATATATTGATTGCTTTCATGCTATGAAGTTATTCTCTTAATTGCTTCCTGAAACTCGTTCCAGTCTCCGTCGACAGTCTTCACGCCTGTATTCCTGATCTTTAGGTGTATTCTAGTTTTTTAATTATAACCTCTTTTAGTGCATGTTTGGATTAATATGAAATTAAGAATATTATTTTATCAATAGTTTTTTCCCCATATATATCTGAAACACATTATATTCCATATTGTGTGCATATATATATATATATATATATATATATATATATATATATAAAACAGTTAAAAGGGATAGTTTGGATATTTTTAAGTGAGCTTCTGTTAAACGTTATCTTACTATCGGTGGATAACTCTCATTAAATCTTGATCTAGTATAAATTTGGGATAGTTGGGCCTGGACTTCTACAGTTGTAAAACAAGTCCAGTCTCAAAAACACCATAGCCGGGTATTTACACGCCATTTTGTGAGCCTTTTGTCATTTGGATTTGTTGGTTATTTACACAAAATCTAATGATTACTCATAGAGGCGATGGAGGTGGGAGGCGCTCCGCCGCCAGTGATCTTCCTGTCTGAAACTCCATGTGGGAATTGAAGAAGGGAAGCATTTTTCCTACTAAAATAGGCGTAAAAGTATACTGCCATTCACTTAAACCTTTTTCATACCACATAGTTACTCCAACCAGGAACACTTTACACCAGAGGTGTCAAACTCACTTTCCTTTTGGGCCACATCAAAAATCTGAATGTTCTTAAAGGGCCGGTGGTGCCGGAATGTATTGATAAAACCAATTCAACTGTTAAAATATCAATAAATAGCTGTTTGTTCCAGCATTCAGCAAGTGTTTCTTAAAATTACACAACGTTGAACATCTTTCCACACTGGTCAGTCCATCCAGGATTTCTTGGATGCCTTTGTGTTCTTTTTGCAATCAAAATCATTTTGTGGAGCTAATTTTACAAATATTTGCAAGGAATTTTTGTGATTTTTGTGCTAATGTATGACGTTAGATGTGACTTTTTATTAATTGTCGTATTGACCATAACTTGACAACAAGGAAGGTTAAACTCAATGTTTTGGGCCAATTTTGAGAAAAAACAAAACAAAAAAACAGTAAAAATCAGAGTAAAATGTGGAAATCTGTGCATTTTGTGTAAATTTTAAGTGAGTTTTGCAGATTTGTTGAAAAACTGGAGAGACATATTGATGTAAATTGGAGTCTAGGGGGCCACATAAAAAGCTACGGTGGGCCACATTTGGCCCCTGGGCCTCGAGTTTGACACGTGCGTCACACGTTGTGTTGTCAGTATGCGTTTCACAAAGGAAGACCATGTGTGACACGCTGCCTCCAAGTTCCAATTGTTATGTAAATTATCACAATTTTCTGGGTAAATAACCACAAAAACAGTTTAAATATTGATTAGGTAGTGCTGCAATAAACCACTGTGACATCAGCACGAGTCTGCTTTTAGACCAACTATTTAGATTTAAACTAAACGAAACCCAGATAAGACATGTAGTGCTTATGATGCTTGATCAGAACTTCACTTCAAAAATTTCCCCGTCCCTTCAAATTTAGCCACAGCAATTTATCGCTTATATCCGTCTCCACTGACTGCTATTCTCCTGTTGAGACGCATTCATAAACGACGCTTTCATCCCTTTCTTTGTGTTGCAGCAGCAGCTTTATGCCTCAGGTGGTTCAAGGAGAGCGAGGCTGCTGGCTCTTTGCTCTCTCTGCGTGTCAGGTCTCCACGGTGGAGGGGCATACCCGAGCCAGAGGCTTCAGCGGGACAAGAGAGGGCTGGTTTTGACCTTGACATGTCCCAGTGCTCTCCGTCTCACCTTGTTGTCCGGCAGCAACGGGCTGGCTTTGGCACTGTGTCGGTTTCTTCTGATTTTTCGGGTTCTTGGAGGGGGTGGTGGATGAGATGGAGCAGTCTTGCATAGCTGGACTGCCCCTGCTCCCTGCTCCGAGAACCATTTCGCCGACACCTTCCGTCTTTATGGCCTCGTGCGAGATGCACGTTTTTCGGGGGGACGGGATGGGAGCGACGTGCACCCACGTCAGCCTCGGCTCGGAGCTCTGGGCCGCCTTGTACTTGGAGCGCTCGTCCAGCTCCTCGCCCTCGCTGTCATTTCCCTTTGCGCCGCTGTTTAGCTGGCTGCTGCAGACCACATCTGGCAAACTCGGGTTTGCGTCAGAAGCCAGCAGTGGAGACAGAGCAGACTGATCCCTTTCGTCTTGAGTGTGCTTCTTCCTCCTCTCCTCGCCATCGGTACGACGGCACTTGATAGGTACAGGGGAGGGCGTGGGGGAGTCGGTGTCTGTCCAGCTGAGTCTGCGCTTCTGGAAAATGAGCAGGAGAGCAAGCAAATGAATATTAACTCTCAGCGGCGCGGCCGCCGGAGGGGGAGGGGCTTATTTGCGCAAGCAGGCTGATGAAATGCACGCATTCTCACCTTGACGGGGATATGCAGCTGATCCCGATGTTTGTGCAGCGGAGTGGAGCTGGAGGTGTCCTGGAGGGAGTGAGTAGGGGAAGTGGAGAAGCTGGAGGACGAAGACACAGGCTGAGCGGAGATGTGGGGAAACCAGAGCTTTAGCATCACCTCCACCTGGAGCAAAGTGTTCAGGTACTTCTCCCTAAAATACAGAGAGATAAAAAAAAAAGTCAGAAAACGTTGGAAAAATCATCACCAAGCATCTAGTGTTGCCCGGTACTCCCTATGGATGCTGTGAATCTACTTCTAGGAGCGCTCAGTTAAACATGCAGCAGGCAGAGAGTTGAAACTGAAAACCACCTCGGAGAGCTTCTGAACGGTTTGATAATCCTGACATTTATGGAACTAGATGTCAGATAAAGGGCTCTGCACAGAAAAAACATTAATGTCCCTTAAATTTTACACATTTTATCACATTACAATTAAAAGCTTCAATGCTTTACTCCAAAAGGACTTTAAGACATGCACCAACACAAAGTAGTGCAGAACTGTAAATTTCCAGGAAAGAGAGAGATGGTTTACTGAATTTTGCTACAAATAAAAATCTGGCATGCATCTGTATTTGGCCTCTCTGGATGACTCACAGTTTGCTCAGATAGATACTGAAGGTTTTGCGAGTTCTGCTTTGCAAAACAGCTCCTGGCCAGTCAGATGGGAAGGAACACGTCTTTGACAGCAATCATCAAGTACTGCCACAGATTACGAACTCTATTTATGTCTGACTAGGCCATTTCTAAGAAACCGATGAATCTAAACCGCTCCATTGTGATTCTGGCTGTACGTTGCTCCAATAGAAAGTTCAGTTCTCATCTCATCTGACCAAATTATCTTTTTTTAACAAGTTTGCTATGTCTTCTTCACAATGTGTGGCAAAGTGAAAACAGGAATGGTTTTCTTTGTGCCACTTTTCCGTGAAGCCCACGTTTATTCAATCCAAAACTAATAATTTTTCTGCCAGTAGATTCTTCCACCTGAGCAGTGGATCTCTGCTGCTCCTCCAACTTGATTTGCTCTTTTTTCATTATTATTATATCCAACAAACCTCTGAGATCTTCACAGAACAGCTGGATTTACACCGAAATTGTATTACACATAGATTGACTATTTATTTACAAGACTATTTATGAAGACAATTTGATGCTCTGGGGCAAGTATAAATAAAAACTAAGCATAATTGTCCTTCCACTTTATGGAGTAATGACTCGATTCATGCTAATCTATCTCAAAGTTCTTATAAATAAATCAAACTTTGTGGTTTTAAGGTGACAAAATGTGAGTATTTTTGCAAAGCCCTCTATAAATAGCGTGTGTGAACAGGAAGGCAGTGTGGATGACTCCTTACCCACAGTCTGGTCTCTGCAAAACCCCGACAATCCTCTGGATGCGATCCATGGCGACGCTCTGCTGGAAACTGCTTAAACCTGTCAATCAAATACATAATCCACCTGTCATGATTTACAGTGAGCGGACACATGAGAACACACACAGCCTCCACCTCAGGCACCACTTTCACTCAAACACCCGCAGAGGTCATATGTAAGGAGCGAGGCTGTCGTGTCGTGCTAGTTGCACATCGTGCCGTATCAATGCACGCTCGAGTACAGAGGAAAACTCCTCAGTCTCAGGTAGCGAAGTCCTCACAGCCTGTATGTACCTACACCAGGCTTGCAGGAGGAGGCAGTGACTTAGGAATGCTTACCGTGATCGAATCGGCCGCTCTTCAGCCCATTCAGCAACTCGAGAAGCGGCCTGACAAAACCCTGCAGCTCAGCACACTGGCAGAGAATAAGACAGAGCAGACAGATTACAGTCTCAGAAGAATCCCCCCCCTGTACAAACACTGCCATGTCATGCCTCTCCTCTCCTCCTTTACCTTCTGAGCAAACAGCAGATCTCCCTCTGATTTGGGTCTCTGGCTCGCCACATCTGCGTCGAGCATGCCGAAGTTTGTCCCCTTGCCGTCATTCTGCGACCTGTACGCCTCTTCCTTGCCCGAGAAGCCGCCGTACGCCCATTGCGACCTGGGGCTCCTCGATCCCAGCTCCTTTTTGGATGCCACTTCGCCGATGGTGACGGAGGAAGAGCTGTCCGTCAAAAAGACGTCGGTGTCGTCCTCCGTCTGTTCCGAGTCGCTGAGCACGAGGCTGTCGCTGGAACTCAGGGAATCGAAGGAGGGCTGGGTGGAAGTGCTTCCTTGAGACTGCATCACTTTGGGGAAACAGTAGCAAAGGATTTGGATTACTACAAGTCAGATTTAGCTTTTAGGAGAAACAAAACAAAACAACACGCTGAGTGGAATGCAGAGTAAATTCATAGAACAAACATGTTTTCTGTTTTGGCGGTGCTCCATTTTCCACATCCCTCTTCCTAAATATACAACTCCCACAACTCAAAATGGTGGGTTATCCAGTGTCCTAGTTTAACATGGTGCAGAGTGGGGCTGGGGGTATATGCAGGAGGCACACAATGGTGGTACATGTCTGGCTCCCATTGAGGAGACTGGAGGAGAGTAGGAAATGTGAGGGGGGGGATGGGAGCTCGTGGAGTGGTGAAATCAGAATAGGCACACTCCCACTCCACCACAGCCTCCGGTTGCTCTCCGAAGCCCCTCCTCTCCTCAGTCTCGTGCTTTTCTCTACTCCACACACACCCACCCCCCTCCCCAGCAGGATTAGAGACACACAAACCACCTTCTTTCCTCTCTGGCTGCGTTTCTGCATGCCGTGCAGCTCTCATCCCATCCTATTCGTTATGCACACAGCCTCTATATTTCCGCTCGCATTTTTCATTCTCTCTGGCTATTGACGTGCCCTTCTCCCACAGTCTGAGCGATCTGCAAGCGTCCTCTGGTCTCTGATCCCACCAGCGTATGTGGGGAAATAGGAATGTACTCGGTAGATAAACACCCCAGCTCTTATCAGAGAGACTGATAGATTTTTGCACCCACAAGGGCTGAGAGAGGAAAGAAACGCTCACAGTTTTGTCTATTTAAGCTACAATGTGAATTTTCAACCAACTGGATATTTTTAGATCAATATTAAATGTTTTGCCTGAAAAAGATAATAATAAAAAGAATTATCCAAATAATGCATCACTTAACAGTGACAGAGTTAGTCCAAGGCAAAGGAAGCTGGTACTTAGGGCCCCTAGAGGCCAAGAGGGGCCCCCAAGAGCAGCTTATTCCACATAGAATATCAATCCCAAAACTTTACATTTTTACTGAGGAGAACTTTTAAATTCACTCTTGATTCATGAATAGAAAAATGAAAAGACAATTTTAAATATGCAAATAATTTGGGATCCACAGCAGCTGATGAAAGTAGTGTAAACCTACAGATTAATTAACAATCATATCGATTTTTTAGTAAATTGAAACAGAACTCCACAAAATGTTTACATTTAAAGAATTGACAAAGCAATGAAAGTGCAGAACAAATTGTTGCATTAGTCGTAATAATAAGGGAGTAAATATTCAGTTCGGTAGCTATGTTAACAGTCAAATTAGTTTATGAACAGCACAATAAAATGTTAAAATATTAAACAATTGGCTATTTATGATTTACAAGTCCTGATATAACCGTAAGCAAACACTGAAGAATTATTCCTAGCTTCATAGCTAGTTTAGCAGTCATGAATTTAAAATTACTGCAGCTTCTTAATTTCTCTTGCTTTTTTTGTGCTTCGGTTACATTTTAAGCACACTAAAACTGCGACCAGTAGTCACTAATTTATTTCAGTGATTCATGTAAGTGGAATTAGGATTCTGCTAAGGGTTCTAGAAATAATTTTGTTCCGTGGCGAAGCCTGTGCGGGATGGATGGAGATGGGCTGGGATGGTGCATGCGGGCTCAGGTAGAGAGACAGGTGATGGCTGCCCGTCTATATGTGTAATCACGCCCACTACAACATACTAACACACAATGGACATCTTATCACAAAGTTGTCAAAAAAGCTGCTATTGCTTTCAAAAATAATACAAGACTAGCGAGAATCGCGTCGGGGATGGGAAAAGTCATTGTTTTAACGGCACAAACAGGATAAAGCTGGGCAGGAAATTCCGTTAGGCTAGTCTGCCAACTTCAGGAAACGCTAACAACAGATGATGAAAAGCGATTTAAATACTCACCGCCAGTAAAGTGAGATAATAATAAGAGCCTCGGTGAACAACACATAAAATATCGCCTCTGGTTTGGGTTCGGTAGATCCGTCAGTACACGGTTAGTGGCTGGAACAGCATCAGCGAGTCCATCCTTTGCACACACACACACACGCAGGCACACCACCCGGTCTGCTCATCGATCTCTGTCTCAACTAGCTGCTTCTCTTGGCAGTTTACGAGCGTCAACGTGTGCGTAGATCCACGTGCCTGCGCTAGTCGCTCTTCCTACTGGCTCACGTACCGATTGGAGGCCCGCGCCATTGGCTGAGCCGCTCAGCCAGTGAAAGGATTACCGGGCGTTGATTGGACGGAGGTTCTGACCCTTATGACGGACACGCCCCACTCATGTGTCTCGGGTGTGTTTGGTGTCTGAGCGCTGCTGCTGTTGCTCTACTACAGCAAACGGTTGTAAACACGCAGCGCCGGAGCCAGAGGAGCGCAATGTGGCCTAAAAGGACTCCGCCCATTACAGCAAAAATACAGAAACACATAGAAAAAACAAGAGGACTTATGCAACTAGGGTCGTAAATCGTCGGTGTAATTTACGAATATATTAACAGTTTTTTTTTTCCTTCTTCAATCTGTTGGATCTAATTTAAGACAAATTTCACTGAGGAAAAAGAAAACAAGGAACCCACGCCGTCTGGAAACATGGAATTTGATTAAGGATTTTTCACCTCTGTGTATGGAAATGGAAAAATATTTGTATTTCAAAACTCCCAAATTGTAAAAATTCAACCCATCCATCCATCCATCCATCCATCCATCCATCCATCCATCCATCCATGCTATATAAAAACATTAATCTATTTATATTTTTAGCCAGTAACCAACCAAAAGAGGACCGAAAATTCTAAAAATTCAAACAATTTTGACATTAAAAATAACATCTGAAGCTGGCACAGGTTTCTTTTACAGATTGAGCCTCACGTCAACTCTTAAACATAGTAATTACAGTCATGTGGCAAGAAGAAGAGAGCACAGTCCGTCTCTAGGCAACTTCAATAACACCCATTTTTGATTTCAGGCAGGATTCAATTTTCACTGTCTTGTGTGTGCACACTCAAAACCCCACTCTCTGACAAGTCTTCAAATATTCTTCAAGAGCATTGTAAACAATTATAAGCTGTTCATTTGATTCTGATGGGGTTTACACCTATTATGTTCAATTTTTCTGAAAACAGGACACAATGTTACATTTTCAACCTTTTCTGATCTCTGATAACTGTAATTAGAAGTAATCTCCAAACTACTTATGAATACTGTTTTACACAAGTAGTTTTCCTAATGCTTTAGAATTTTTTTTTAATTATTATTATTTAACACCTCACACTTTCTTTTAACATTTTTTTAACCTGAATCTTCTTTTCTGTGTTGTTGCTGTTGATGTATATAGGATCACACATGTATAGTCACTCTTCAAGGTTACCCATGAGCAGCCATAGTGTGTCCTCCCCCTTCGCTTTTAGCTCACAACAGGGTGAACTCTGTGACCACCTCTCCATACAGGCATTGCACTTGCATGCATAGCCTGTTTACACACACATATACCCACACACGTCCTCCCCTCAGATTATCTAATGCATTTGTCGTTTCTCACTTCATAATGCCTGAATGATGCATCAGTAGTTTGGCATGCTTTTATCAGGATTTTCCTACGTGCTGCTCCTCATGTTGCAGGAGGATGAGGAGTCCGCCCCTCCCCCTCTATACATACAACTTACACATGAACTCACCGACCGCCACCCTCCCACCCGCCTCTCTCCAGCCATATACATTGCATACATAGCAGGGCGTAGCCTTGTTTGTTTTGCTATGCTTTTCGCTTATCCCAGCTATACACTGCCCAGACTGCCTTCTGTGATCAGGAAAGCAAAACACAGATTAACCTTTGGCTGCAGAAACCAAAAGAAAGGGATCTTAGATGAATGTATGGAAGAGGCACCGGGTTCAGAGAGCTTACCATCCCCCTCCCGCTGTCAGAATTCCCCTGCAATACATGAACTGCCTGAACCTACTTTGAGTTTATGTTTGCTAAAGACCACCCCCATCATTTCAATCCTTCCACTTCCCTTCCAACTAATTCCCATCCCCCACCTGCTTCCCCCTTTCTCTCTGTCATTTTCTCCTTTAAAAAAAAATCCCTGATATTGACAATCTTGAAAATCCAATTATGTCAAGCCTAAACTTATGGATGAGGCATTTGTCAGCAGGCGGAATCAAAGTAAAGCACATTACGTTACAGTTTTCTGGATGTTCATTATGGAATTAGAAACAACTCAGTTTGATGAGCAAATTGAAAAATACCTGTTTCAATTAAATAAATAGTTCAATCATCTTAGTTCGGTCAAGTTTTTTTCTTAACTAATGTTGACATGATCTCCGTAATAACTTTACCTGGAAGACAGTTACCTAGATGTTACCTTCTTTCTACTGACAGGAACTGAGAGATCAGGTATCGAAGGAATGTGGAAGGTCAAAAGCACAAGTGTGAGTGTTTGAGAGTAGACAACAACAGCAGAAATCTTATCTCCTTCTGGGAAGACGCAAGCACAACATAATGACTAAACTGTAAACGAGGCCCCCTCTTTACCCTCACCGCTCTTTTTTTTTTTTCTGAGTCAGAGGCAAACACGTCCCATTTGAAAGCAGCGTGGAAAAAACCCACTCAGTGCAGCTTTGTTTTCCTCAGTCTGCACCTGCAGACCAGTTTTTTTCTTTCCTCCTTTAAATCTAAGGAGATTTTGTATAAATATTCAATACTGTCAATAACATTTCTCCGTAATACTTTGAAAAAAAAAATTCTTGTTGATTTTTTAACAATTAAAGTTTGGTTTTCATAGTTTTGCATCTCCATCTGCAGTTTCTTGCAAAAATTTCCATGCCTCTTGAAAAATTTACAACCATAAAGTGCATATGGCCACCATTCCACAATGTGTACAGAGAGGCTGAACGCTGCCATTCTTCTGAACATTCCTCTTTGCACAAAAACTCCAGCTCAGGCAGACTACATGAACAGAAACTCAACCTTCAAGTTTTTTTCCTCCACAAATTCTAAACTGGATACAGGTCCAGACTTTGACTGAGCCATTGTAAAACATAGGTTTGTTTTAAACCAGAGGTCTGCAACTCCTTCCCTGCAGTGCCACAGTCTTGCAACCTTTACATGCATCCCTGCTCCAGTGCACCTGAGTCAAAAGGTTAAATTATCTCCTTGGCATGGAAGCAAGTTTTGCAGAAGCCTGTCAATTAGCTATTCATTTGATTCAGGTTTTTAGGTGCAGGAATGCATCCAAAAGGTGCAAATCAGTAGGACTTGAGAACTGCTGATCTCAAGTCCTGCTGATCCAAACCATTCCTTTGAGGCTCTGACTGTATGTTTATTGTTGTCTGTGAGAAGATGAACATGCGCGCCAGTTTAAAGGGTTTTACAGCCTTTTACAGGTTTTGAACTCTACCCACATCTCAATCAACTCTGACGAGTTTCTCTGCTGAAGAAAAGTTCCCCACATCTCCATGTTCCCACTATCATGTTTCATGGTGGACATGCTGTGTTTAGAGTGTTTTCTGCCACACAGAGCATCTTGCACAAAGACCAACAAGTTCAATTTTGTTTATTTTGATCAGTGCGCTTTCTCCCACATGTCTGCTGTGTCCACCCCAATTGATGATCTTTGCATTTGCGTTTCCTTTGGTCCAGGTTCTGTGTTCTGTGTTTATGCTAATCTTTTATTTTGAATGAATGTTTTATTTTGCTTATTGATGTTTGTTTAGGTTTCAGTTACAGTTCTGGTATTGCCGTATGTATTGGGTTTCCCCCCAAGACTCTGCACATTAAAAGCCAGTCTGCTTCTGTCTTTGGTGGATCCTCTGCTGTCTGGTCATGATATCTGGTTCTCCTGAGCTTCTGTCTCTGTGTTTTTTGTTCTCTGTAATCTCTGGACTTTTCTTTCCATTAAACGCAGCATCATTTAAGTTTTGGTTGGCTTATCTTTCTTGCATTTAAGTCCAATATTGGACCAAAACATGTCACAACATGGTTTATGCCAGTGAATTCTTTGTTGAAATAAAGCTAAACTCCAAGTCATTTTTTTTGTGCCTAAACCACAAACATACATCTGCAGACAAATATGTGTGCAGCAGTGGGAAACGGGGGTTTTCACATGACGAGGAGATGCTCTGCTGCTGAATTTATGAATGGATCCAAAGGACACGCCCCCTGCGGAGACACAACCAACAGCACGCGCACTGGTCTTAACCACGCGCCGTGATGGAACGCTCGGTAACCAATGGGAAGCCGGGGAAGGTTACCGCTGTTGCATAATTTGTCTGGGGCGCATCACGTTTAGGAGGACCGTCACACGGTGGCTGTTTTACAGCACTTGTATTTAATCTATGCTCGACTCCACGGAGTGATGTCATTCGCATCAGAACACACTCGGCTGGATGGCTCCGAAGCGTCAATAGAAAGTCAACCCCTTCTTTTCTTTGGACGAAGAAAAAAGAGGACGGAAAAAAAAATAGCCAAACAAACTATTAGTTAATTCGATTTAATGGGTTTAGTTTAGGAGACTCTGATTCATCCTGCAGTGGAACAACTGGGTTGTTAAATTATTTATGTGAAGCGCTGAAGGTCTAGGATTTGGACATTGGATTACCTCAATATACTATATTATTCGCATTGGGACATATTTCCCCCATCAATTTCTCTGTCACATGTAAAGGGCTCCTCCTAGTGTTCACATTTAATAAGCAATTTGAAGAAAATGTTGACATTTTTAAGCAATTGAGGAAAAAAGCCCCTGTGTGAATCTAAAGCATAACAGAAAAAAAAGAAACATTCTCAAAGCAGGATTATCAAACCCCCCCTAAAATAACACCCAGAGTGATGCAACTGTATGTAATTCTGACGAAATTAAAGCTCAATTTATATTTGACTATATTACTAGCTCTCAATTAATTTTTATTTTAATTTTTCACACTGGCCACTGCCACCATTTATTTATACATTTATGTTTGCAAAGTTTTATAACACAAATTGGCAAAAAAAAAAAAAAAAAATCACTTGGAAAAATTATGTAATCAAATCCATATGCAGCAGCTGTTATATGACAATAGCAAATCAGACATAAAATATATATTAAAAGAAATAAGCTACGAATTTTTATTATTTAAAGAATGATTTCTTT